TGTTTTTTTTTTTTAAACCACAGAATCTAGCCAGGAAAGGTGGCTCACCGCCTGTTAACCCCAGCACTTTGGGAGGCTGAGGTGGGCGGATCACCTGAGGTCAGGAGTTCAAGACGGTCCTGGTCAACATAGTGAAAACCCTGTCTCTACTAAAAAATACAAAAAATTAGCCAGGCGTGGTGGTGGGTCGCCGTAATCCCAGCTACTTGGGAGGCTGAGGGCAAGAAATTACTTGAAAACCCGGGAGGTGGAGGTTGCAGCGAGTCGAGATCATGCCATTGACTCCCAGCTGGGAAAACAGAGTGAGACTCCGTCTTCAAAAAAAAAAAAAAAAAAGGAGTGAAACTCCATCTCTACTAAAATACAAAATTGAGCTGGGCGTGGTAGGCGCACCCTGTAAGTCCCAGTACTCCAGAAAGATGAGGCAGAAAGAACTGCTTGAACCTGGGAAGGCGGATTACAGGCATGCACCATCACACCTGGCTAATTTTTGTATTTTTGGTAGAGACAGAGTTTCATCACGTTGGTCAGGCTGATCTCGAACTCCTGACCTTGCGATCCACCCGCCTCAGCCTCCCAAAGTGCTGGGATTACAGGAGTGAGCCACTGCGCCCATCGAATTTTTGTATTTTTAGTACAGACGGGGTTTCACCGTGTTGGCCAGGCTGGTCTCGAACTGCTGACTTTGTGATCCACCCACCTCGGCCTCCCAAAGTTCTGGGATTAGAGGTGTGAGCCACCGCGCCCGGCCTCATCAATTTTAAAATCAGGAACAAAGAACCCTGAGTTTGCTGCCAGAGTTACCTGGCAGGTAACTGGTGCCTCCACCTGCAAGGCCAAACTCCACCTATGAGATTCTGCATCCAGCTCCGTTCTCGGCTGGGCGCTTTGTTGGGTAGCTGTCACACCAGCCTCAGGCGAGGGCCAAGCCACGGCTTCCACGTGGGACGCACATCCTGACTTCTCCCTCCTCACCGAGGGAGGTCGGCTGTCACGTGTGACATTTCCAGCATGGTTATAATTACAGATTTGATGTATGCATTACGATAGAAAAATTGGCCGGGCACGGTGGCTCCCTCCTATAATCCCAGCACTTCGGGAGGTGGAGGCACGAGGCTCGCTTAAGCCCAGGATTTGGAGGTCAGCCGGGACAATATAGCAAGACCCAGTCAAAAATTAAAAAATAGGGCCAGGTTCACCCCTGTAATCCCAGCATTTTGGGAGGCCGAGTGGAGGGGATCACCTAAGGTGGGGAGTTCGAGACCAGTCTGGCCAACATGGTGAAACCCCATCTCGACTAAAAATACAAAAATTAGCTGGGCGTGGTGACGGGCACCTCTAAGAGGAAGCACCACCAGCGTTCTTTCTCTGCTCAGGCCTCCGAGTCGCTGGGATTGCAGGCGCCCGCCACCTCGCCCGGCTAGTTTTTGTATTTTTAGTAGAGATGGGGTTTCACCGTGTTAGCCAGGAAGTCTCGACCTCCTGACCTGGGATTACAGGCATGAAGCCACCATGCCTGGCCACCTGGCCTAATT